GGCATGATTGTTAAAATAATTGTAACACTGATTGATGGCATTTTGATTCACCGAGAGTAAGCCTAAGAGCTGAAGTAGGAGTAAGAAATAAAATGGATTTATTTCCTTACTCCTACTCCTTACTCCAGCTTACTCCATGTATTGTAGACCAGCCTTTAAATCGCAAGTAATCTAGCAGGAAAAATAGGCATCGTCTGCAGCGGGCTTTACAATATAGTAAAAATGCTAAAAGCGAGCGGCTTCGTCTCTTTCCGAGGGGACGATTAGAAAGAGACAGAGCTCATTCAGTATAGCGTGAGGTGCAGAATTAAAGCCTTTAGTCACTCGCTAACTGTCCTGTTAAAAAGGAGACGAGGCCGTTCACTTCCAGCATATTTTTACCATGCCGCAAGGTGCAGAATTGACCCTCGCATCTAACCTGATCCGGGGCAGAAGGGAGCGGCTGACGCGCGTACGCGGTTCAGGCGATTGTATACAGATAGTACAAAGTACTACGAAGTGATGACGAGATGTGATTGGAGCAACAACAAAAGAACTGCAATTTCAGTTGTACCGCAGCGCACGGTGACAATACCTCGCGCAACTCCGTCTCCGGGTGCGAGCTTGCCGTGCTCTTCCTAACCTCAACGCGACAACAATTCGTCGTGCGGAGGTGGGCAGAGAAAAGGGAGAAAGCGTCCGAGACACTCGCGGTTGCGAGTTCACGAGGGGCAGCGTCATCGAGGGCAACTGGTAAGAGATGATTATATTCAATCGTGTCGAGAGCAACGATTGAGAAATCGGAGGTCCACTTGTGGACGCGTCGACAACCTGAAACTGTAACGCCTCCTCGCTGGCAGCTGCCTCGCCGTAAAGTTTATACCGCTTTTCAATTTGTATTCAGTGCAGTGAACTTTAATTACTGTAGCCTTGTATCGAACTGCCCGTTCATCGAGCCGTTTTGATTGTAGACAGGATATGTCGGCCGATACGCAGGATATGCCGAGCAACGTGGACAGCGGGGATCAGGAGGAATACGAGGGTCGCGTCGTCACGGACTCGGTCCACGAGAGATTTCGGCAAAAGCGCGTCTACTGCGACGGCTGCGGTCGCGACATTCCGGGGAACGAGGCTGCCATCAGGATGCACTTTGACGACTCGCATCCCTCGGACCGGCATTGCTGCTATTGCAAAGGCAGGGTGTTCGTGTATCGTAAAATCACGGCGGTGGACGGCGGGGAATCGTCGGAGAGCTTCGTGTATCACAAGTGCAAGCGCAGTAAACAGCTCGAGGCGAATGCGCCGAAATAACCCGCGTAGATGCTCCGACGTCTTTACAACTTCTAGAGAGATAAGATCAGTGACGTTGCAACACATTCGGGCGCCTCTACGCCGGGATTCGCTTCCAATTTTACTGCCTAGTAACTGTACCAGTTATCTCTTAATATCCTTGAATTTGATATGAATAGAAATCATTGTGCGTGGGAAATCGTGACAGCTGCAAAGTGTAAATTTTTCGTAATGAAAGACGGGACTAGACAATATTGTCTAGATGCGTCGTGAAAAATTGCCAGAATCTCACAAATGCTTGCCTAATCGGTTGCCTATCATATGTATGTAACATCCCATACAGCACCAAAGCTTTCAGAAACATTTCAGAAAACATTGTTGCAATGTTGCAATGTTTCTGAAATGTTTCTGAAAGCTTCAGTGCTGTATGGGATTGTATACCTACGGCAGGCAGTAATAATGCAATATGTATATTGTAATACATATTGCATATTTTCATTTATAAATAATAGACAATGTATTTAACGCGCTATGTATTGAATAATGTTTTTCATATGAGTTAGAGTAAGTAAACGCGGGCGCAACATTCCACATAAATTTATTTTCTGCTATTAGTCATCCGTTTTATTTTATGTGCAATTTATACACGTTCTTATTTATAAATTTTTTTATGTAGTCGTGTGTACGATACGTTGACATTACAAATCGGTACATTATTCTATACGTATAAAAAGCACTAATTCTATCATCTTTTAAATGTGTACACATTACATATATTTTTTATTATTTAAAGGTATTTTTTTATATAATTTAATATAACTATTACCGACAATAGAAAGGAGAAGTAAAATCTTGTGCGAGTACAAAGAGATTTGATAATTTTATACTATGAAATACAAATATTGAAGATAAATCTTACGTATGATCTCTTCATAGATTTGATATAAATTTATTTCGTTTGCAACTGCGATATCCTTTCATAATAGAATAAATCTTAGAGGTTAAAAAAAGAAATGAACAGACGTAGGTTTTCTACACAATGAGATTTATACGTTATTTTTATATGGGTAAAGGAACAATCATGTACCATAGAATGAAAACTTATATTATAAACTTTGAGCTTTACAAATACACAAAAGTTAATCTCAAGTACAAAGTTACATGAATTTGTACATAGTTGCGTTAATTTTTCTATACTTAACATTCATTGTAAAACATTTTCGATATATCAATTATGTATTATAAGACTTCGGTTATTTAATAGAAGCAAGCAATCTTAACAAAACTTGGTATATTATTTATTTAATCCTTTCCTTCCATACGAAGTACACTTATAGTCAGATAGATAATCTACTTAAACAATACAGAAGATAATTTCTTTCTGATATATATGAAACATATATATATATGTATATATATATAAATTTGCAAATTCAATAATCTTCAAAGTATACACTTACTTAGTTCATACAAGTCACTTCGTATTTTTTTTCACCATTGGCATTTAAATGGAATAAGAAAATTTATACAATAAATAATTTACGCGTTTCTTTTTAACATAAATAAAAGAAAATTTACGTCGAGTGCATCAAAATACTAGATTTATAAGTGTAATAACGTCAATCATAACAAATTTTAATAACAATTTTGGTAAATTGAGATTACAAAAGTGACAAACAAAGATAACATACATCACATGAATTCTATGACTGTCTCCCACAAGACAGCATATAATGTAGAATCTCTTATTTTTATAACCATAAATATTGATATCTTCCACGTCTCCTTAGTAATCTTATACATTGTCTTTTTTTTATCTGAATATGTATACTGTATACATATATGATGGCACATATACACACACACACACACACACACACACACAGACATCTTTTATATATAAAAACAGCCTAAATATATAAATTATATATAATATACATATAATAAGTTAGAAAAGATGTTATCGTTACACTTTTTATAAATGTGTGAGCTGCAGTTAAATATGCCATTAACATAATATTTGTTTCGTCGTTTGGTATACTGTTTCTACATTTAAAAGATTAGAAAAGTACATATATTCAACATATAGATATCCATAGACAAATGTGTTACATTAATTGTAAAATTTCCTGTATGCAATGTAACTTAATATGTAGGATATGCTTCAGGAATGAATGCAAACGCCGGAGAATGATAACTCCTGTGAAGTATGTCCCACATATATTAAGTCGTTATAAGACGTTAATGCTAGTTATAATGCTGATTAACTATCTCGATAAGTACAATATAAATATTATACTCGTCAGATACAATATTTGCACAAATACATAAATTTTTTTCTTCGTTCGCGATAAGACTATAATCCCGATAGACGATTTTATCGATTTCAGTTTCTCAGTATTACGAGACTGACACAGACTTTTATCACATTCAGTTTTTTTTACGAAAAGGGAATTCCTTATATCACACCCATATATATACTATAAGAACATATCACGATCTGCGTAGCTCGTTTTTCTCTTTTTCCATAAAATGTCCTCCCTTCACGAATCTATGAAGTTTAAAACTTATTTAACAAATGCACCATAGATCAGACTATATGTTATTCGAAGCATTTGAATGCTGGGCTAAGTTAACACTGGCCCCAGAGAGATATAGTAATCAATAGATATTTTGTACCAAAAATTGGGATATGCATGCAGGCTTTTTTACAATGTGCGAATCGTTTCCTTACAACAAATCTAATAGCGAATTCGATTGCTTGCACTAGTGCACACTGAGTGCACACTAAGGCTTGTTTCCAGTCAATTCTTATATTTGACAATCATCTTAAATTTCTTGAAATATTTCGTAGCCGGTAAAACGATCCGTACGGCATCCACGCGGATCGTTTTTTGGCTAAATACTCTTTGAACGTGTATTTAAGACAAAGTTAAGTATAAAAATTGACTATAAACTGGCCTTAATGTGCACGCAGTGCGCACTGGCGCGAGCAATCAAATTCGCTATAAGTGTTGAGAAGTATGACAAATAAAAAGTCGTAAGAAAAAATGAATAATGTTAGGAAATATTGGTTTTTCGTTTGGATTATATGAAGGTATGAGTATCCCGCAAATAAAGATAACATATGTTGTCTGAGACTATGGACAGATCTAATAGCAAATTAGATAGAAGTGCGCATATTATAATAATACTTTATATAACAGATCTCTACGAGAACAAATCGCTAATTACACTTGATAACCTGTGCTACGCGAAATAATCTTTAATACTGATAATTAGAATGTTAGCTTACGCTCCTAATCACAATTCAATTGAAAGGAAAAAGCCTCGTTAGATATGTTTGTCGATACAAAAAATGAAAAAGCAATGAATGAAAAAGCAAAAATGAAATAAGACCAATAAGATGGGAGATTTACGAGGCCAGAGCAATCTTAATTCCATGAATGGATACCCGCATGGTTAATGTGGTTAACAATAATACAATAAGCTATCGTGTGCAGTGTATACCATGCGCAGTGCACACCTGTATACGCAATTTCGCTAATGAGTTGATTTGTACGGGCTGACGCAATTGTGGCAAATTTGTTAAAATTGGCATTTATACATGGAACATAAGCAAATAGTTTTGCTTTGCTTATAAAAAATATACTACTTTGTTTACTCTGTATATCTTCTGGCAGATATCTTTTCTCCGACACAAATAACTCCGCGAATTTTCTCAATAGTTTGCGTTATCTGACGTGTACTCTTCAAAAATCTATCCAGTATTCATTCTACCGTATGTTTCTTTAAAAATAACTTCAATCTTGTTGGATAATCTGTCATTACGCCAGTTGCTCCCAGATCAAATGCTCTTTTGAATTCTTCGTCTTTATTTAAGACCCAAAAATAGACCTATACAGACACACGAGCGAATCACATTAAAAATCAATGCTACACAACCAAATGTATATCAGTTGTAATTGTGTATACTTACATGTATGCCTCGGGCTCTTAAATGATTAAATAAACACGGCCTCATCAACAATACATTAATCGTACGTACTACCAACTTTTCCAGCGGTAAAAATGTTGGACTCGGGCCACCTTTTCGTCTAGAGTTAAAGTAAAAGAGAATTTTTTGTCACATAATTCCACGGCAATTATAAATAGCCAAATATTTCATTTGTATTACCGCAAATAGATTGAAGGCAAGAAAATTTCAAGATGCGTTTCCTTGAGTGGTACAAACGGCAACAAGCCAGTATACATGAGAAATATCAACATCGTCACGCGTTGCATCGAAAACAATAAGTTTACATTTGGATTCTACAACAAAGTCAGGATTATTAGAAATGTCGAAAAATCAACCATCCACAAATTTATATGCAGCTTTTAATTTCGGATAATTAATGCCAGCTTTTGCTGGTGGCACACAAATTTTTGCGAGAATAATTCAGCCTTTAAAAATTTGTTGTGCCACAATTTTTCCATCAAATATTATTCCTCAAATTCTTTCACGGTACGAGGGTCGCTTGATAAGTTCGATGAATTTCTAAGAGTTGACACCACAATCCACTTGGTGACTGGTTGCTTGGTAAGTTTCATTCTTCCAACCATCCCAGGCGAAATTTCAGTCAGAATATGTTGTTCAAGTTTGGTAGTCGTTTGAAGCGAGCGGTTTACTGGTTGCCACAATAATGAAAAAAAAAGAATTCTGTGCAGAATTACACGAATTGGTTTCCCATCCACACTATTCTCCGGATTTGGCCTCGCGCGACTTCTTCCTGTTCCTAAACTTGAAAACCTAGGTCGACGGGAAGAAATTCTCGTGGAACGAGAAAGTTATCATCAACGAGTATTTTGTCGTTCGCTTCAAATGACTATCAAACGTGAACCACGCGTCACTTCTGGCTGAAAGTTGGCCCGGGGTGGTTTGAAGAATAAAACTTACCAGGCAATCCGTCACCGAACTTATCAAACGACCCTGGACCCTATTAATCTGATCTTTATAGAGGCTTACCAGTGCGCATATTAACGTACCATTTTGTAGCACTTCTGCGTGACTTCGTCACTGAAGTTTCCCCAAACTGTATATTCCTCTCTATTGTATTCTTTTATAAGATCAGAAACTTTGGATATAAGCCGATCGTTATTGATCTTAATGTCGATGTTGACAGGGATATCAGGGAACGCCTCGAAGACCTCTCGCAGCAATGCAAATTGTCGATCCTCCTCCCTCGCCGAGCCAATATACTCCACATCTGTTCAACTACAGTTCTTAAATCATTTTGTTCGTAAGCGACGCCCTTTCTTGAAATAATAGATAGCAATACCTGGATCAAAATCAATCGGTAAACGTTGCTTCAAAAGCGGCAAATCCTTGTAATCCAATTCGGAGATATTCTTATCTATGCCAGTGCTGCGCAAGAGATTCTGATCGTGAGAGACTACCACCTCACCGTCTCTCGTGAGATGACAATCTAACTCCAACATCTGCGTTCCAATAGCCACTGCTCTGCAATTGTAAGATGGTAATTTTGCTTGAGTTTGTTCAATTACGACACTCATTTGCAATTACAAACATTAATCAAGCAGATAATGAGATAGGAAATGCCTCGCCACAGTTGAAAAGAATTAATGATAAGCGCGCATGACACGTGAAAAACTCGATTTAAATATATTATGTTGATGCTATTAAACAGATTTCAATCTTTTTTCGCTACTCATCGGGTGATACAAATTTTCGTGAACACAATCTTTTCCTATCTAAATCAGTGGTGTAATAATATTAGAAGAAATCAACAGTTTACACAACTTTCGAACCATTGCTCTAAAATATTTTAAAAAAATCAAATACATTACTTTCGTTATTTTGTTATACGTTTACAAGAAAATATTATTTTACGTAACAAAACACCAGGTACTTCACGGGGGCGTAAAATATAAAAATTAAATTACACAAGCGCATAGAACAAAAAAAAACCATTACACTCTCCCTACTTTTATGTAAATATCTGAAATGAAATTACATGCAAACGTATGCTTCATGCTGTCGTACGGTAATTTACATGGTGATTGAATGTCATAGCGATTAGAACAGATGACAGTGCATTTTTACAGTTGTACGAGCCTCGGATAAAGTAGCAATACTCCCACTAACCGTTTGAACGCGCACATCGTGTTCTCGTAGCTCTCGCCGGCGCCTGGAAAACAAAAGAGAAACCGGAGGTCCCGCAGGAGTGGATTAATAAAGTAGGGCTTGATTCGCGCGATCCGCGGATGGTAAACAAAGGGGAGGGAACGAGAGCGACGACTCACCGCCCCGATGGCTGATGTGCTGGCAGAAGAACTTCACCTTCTTCTTCTTGTGCAGCAGAGTGGGATACTTGAAGAGTATCATCGAGGTCAGCATGTAGCCGCCGATCAGCGTGTACAGCAACATCCTCGCTGCCCCGTCGCGGTGTAACAAGCCCCGTGCCTCGCGCGCGATGCACTTATCCGCCGTCGAACATAACGGGTGGGCGCGCTCGGCGTGTGGCAAAACGACGGACGCAAATAAACGGTGGGAGCGGAGCAGACGACGGCGCAAGTGTGACACGACCGCCCGCCGGCCCTGAATCACGCGCCCACGAGAGCGGCGTGCCGCGGTTTTCCCGCGCGCGTCGCGATCGGCCAATCGGCCGGCGGCGCGAAAAGCACTCCCGCCGCCCAGGGGCGTCTTCTCTCGGGGGGGGCGACTTCGGGCGTTGCAATATATTTAAAATAATGAAACACGACTCATACAATACTTTAGATATTCCAACATTTCAGCAATATTTGCTGAAACATTGCTGAAATGTTCTATTCGGGTATAAATAAGTAAATTAATTGTAATTACAAACTTTTTGTTTTTGAAACTCGCAGAAAAATATATGATTTTTATTATATGGCTTCATGCATTTTCAAAAGTTGTATACAATATTGTATCGCAGCAAAATTATGGAATTGCAGTTTTGCAATATTTCCGGAATACAATACTGCTGATATATTGCAAGCACGTTGTTAATTTATGTTTCCACAACGTAATGTTGCATTGCAATTTGCGACATTGCAACAACGCGCCAATGTGGGGTCACAAGGCAGGACGTGTTGATCTTCGTCGACAATTTCCATCGCGCTCAGCCCGGGTGCGAGATTCAAATTTTGGATCACGCGAAATATCGCGATAACCCGTGAACGCGGCCCCTTCGAGCCTGGCAGGCCTGGCTTTATTGTCGCGCGCGAGCGCGGACCTCTATGCTGTTTCAAGCGCACGTTTCCGACCGGAATCCCCGATACCGTTACCGCCTCGATCCGCGGGCATAATTGCGGCAAGACGACGAGAGAATAGGGGAGAATAGGGGAGCCGCGCGTGGAAATCAGGCATAAATGTTGCGCCGCCGGACGCGCCGCGGTCCGAGTCTGATCTACGTTCTACGTGCCTTGACCGTGCGGAGCCCCTGAGAGCCCCCGACCCCGACGCGCTCGGCGAGCCGCATCGAATGCACCTGGCAGACGATTCCGAAAGTTGTCACGGAAAAATGCGCTCCTGCCAGCGTCCTTCGCACGGTTGACGACGATGTCCGACTCGAACTCGCCCAAAACGGACACGAGTAGCTCCAGCCTCCTGCGGCGGTTCCGCTTTCAAAAAAAGCAAACCAGGGCCATGAATATGTGTAAGAGCTCGCGTTAAATCTTCCTCGCCTCCGTCCACCTGCCCCGCTGATCGACGCTACCGCGCGCAATCGGCGCCGTGCGTGTCCCGGGCGGCCACGCCGCTTCTCCCCCGCGCTCTCGCGAGCGTTTTCCAGGATCGACCTCAAACCGTTTCTACTCGCGTGTTCGCGCGATGCAAATTGGGATTTGTTACACGGGAATTCGTACGCTTCGAGCGGCACTTAATTTGATCTGTCCGACCTTGTCTGCCGCCTCGAGCGAGGCGGACGCCCGGGGACGGTGCGCGGCTCCTTATTTGCGTCTCCTGTAATTTCAGCTGACGAGGACAGCAACTTGGTGAGCTCCGACGCGCAGGTGCGCCGTAAACCCGTGAACCGCATTGAGGATAGCGACAGTGATATTGGTAGTCCGGCTAAGCCAAGTTCGGACTGTAACGCCAAAGGTAAAGAGAATAAGTTACAGTACCTGACAACCTTGTATCCTCAGAATGATGTGATAGTAAGTACCTCCAGTCTTTCTAGGTAGACCTTCCTTACCGTCGAATAAGGCTTATATTATTTAATTCATGTTATTGTTGTCTAAATTTGTCTCTTTCGTTACTAGACGAGTCTCTTGGTTGGCCACCAGACAGCACAGGACACTCCTATGAACATTTTAAGAATATTCGGAACATTCCACACATTCTTATATGTTTGTCTCATGTTCGTGGAGCATCCGATTGACACTAGACTAGAATAATCTGTCGAATATAGCGCGTTGGTTACGTATGGTGTGATCACAGGTTTCACTGCCTTCCCAGCTAGCCAGTGTGAGCACAAGTCGCTTTCATATTGCTAACAAAAATGTAATCATCTTGCTATGCGTGTATGATGACGGAAATTATACATTTGCATGATCCAAACGTTATGCTGGCATTAAGTGCTCGGCCAGATGTGGTAGATATAACACGTTTGTATCTGTTAGACAATTGAAAACAATGTATGCTCACTCTTTGTTAACAGTACGCCCGTTCGATGTGTTCTCTCTTTAGCTGTACACTTCATTATGACAATATGTTAACATTGTGCCAGCTGTACACTAAAGCACTCAAATGTTGAATTCATATTCCCAGCATCAGTTGCTGGCACTTAATTTTCATACATTGTTTGAGCATACTGGCTATCTGGGTTTTGCATTTAAGCGTAAGATTACACAATGAACAATGTGCAATACATAAACTCGATAAATATTTAAAAATTATCCCGAACGAATGTTCCAAAAACATTCTCGATGAATATTCTGAAAACGTTCTCGTTATAAATATACGATTTTTAACTGCAATAATCTATATATATATATATATATATATATATATATACATTTATAGAATATTCTGAAATTAGGAATATTTGCACTCCAGAAGAATATTCATAGAACTATCTGGAATGTGTGTGCTATCTGGGACTATTAATATTCAAGACAAGCCGTTTATTTAACACAAATATTACGACTACGTATTAAATAATGACAAAAATAATTACCATTTTTTTAGCATATACAAGAAGTGCTTAGCAGTACCAATTGGAATGTCGAAGAGGCGGAGGAGGCGCTTAAAAAAAATAGGAAAAGGGGTTTGAAGAAATCTGCCAAAACTAGCAAAAAGAAGAGGAGAAAATTAAATGAAGACGAGGAAGTAGATGTCGATTCAGACGAGGGAGATTATAAAGACAAAGTGTTCAATAGGTACACAATTTTTTTGTTGCGACTTATAATTAAAGCTCGTAATTAAATATATGATCGCTTTGCGAACGTACTGCTGTCTTACAGCGATGAGGACTCGGACATAGAAATATCCAACGAACTTACCGGTGATAAAAAGGGAGTTTTAGAGTTCATGCAATGTGCTCTGTTCTCGGAGTTGCTCCTGATGTCGCAGTGTACTCCAAAGAGAGCCCGCGCCATTGTAGACGCGAGACCGTTCGAAGACTGGAGAGATTTAGTGAACAAATTTCAAAATATAAAATACTTAGACACGGAATTATTGAATGCGGCGCAGGTAAATTCGACAAAATCAATACACGTGTGTCACATATGATAAAAGGCGATCTCTGGTGACCGGTATATATACCGAGTGTACACTCTGGTACACTTTGGTATATGTACCAAACAATCGTAAAAAATCGCCTAAAAAGCGTCGTGTCGTACTTCTGTTAAACTACTAAAATTTGGATTAATTTTCCGACAATAAAATGTAGATTTATGACTACGATTAATTCTATTTCTAATGTGTATAAAAAGGTGTTACTGTCTACGCGTCATGTGGTGGAACTTCTTATGAAAAAATGCCTTCGCTTATCCACCAACCTGGAAAGGGCTGTGGCTGCTGGTATATCGACTATAGCACAGCAGCCAAAAGCGTTGTCGCCAAATTTGGAATTAGCCTCGTATCAAATGGTCGGCCTAAATTGGCTTGCTGTTATGCACGCGCAGAACGTAAATGGTATACTAGCCGATGAAATGGGTTTGGGGAAAACGGTACAAGTGATAGCATTTCTAACATATCTGAAGGAAGCTGGGCTTCTCGATGAAAAGGACGGGCCTCATTTAATTGTCGTTCCCAGTTCAACTATGGGTAATTTCTTGTGTCTTTAGACATCTGTCCTGCAAAGCCCGTTATAGCGTACGACAATCTTTCTCTTGTTACAGAAAATTGGTTGGACGAGTTGGAAAGATGGTCACCCATCTTGAAAGTTGTGCAGTATTACGGCTCTCCAGAGGAGCGAAAAGAGATGCGAATGGGCTGGCGAAACGGTGACCTCGATGACGTCGATGTTTTATTAACTACGTACAATTTAATCTGCAGCACCCCAGAGGAACGTAGGCTATTCCGTGTTATGCCACTGAATTACGTAGTTTTCGACGAGGCTCATATGCTCAAGAACATGAGCACTGTTAGATATAAAAATCTCGTCAGGATTAATGTATGTATTAACTCTACATGTATATGTATAAATGGAAGAAGTGTTTCTTCTCTAACAACATCTCGTAATCTGTTTTTGAAGGCTAAACATCGAATACTATTGACTGGTACGCCGCTACAAAATAATTTATTGGAATTAATATCTCTGTTAATATTCGTAATGCCTTCATTATTCGCTGGAAAACAAGCCGATTTAAAAAGTTTATTCTCCAAAAATTCTGTAAGTCATTATACACATTATTAAAAATATATCAGTAGTACTTTATGTATAAGTTACCGTACATTTATTAATAAATTTTCAGAAAGCACCAGGCAATAAGAACGAAGAGCAGCCGTTGTTCGAAAGAGAACAAGTTAAAAATGCAAAGGAAATTATGCGACCGTTTGTTCTACGACGGCTTAAAGTTGAAGTCTTACGCGACTTGCCCTATAAGAAAGACGAAATAATACGATGTGCATTAATTGAAAAGCAGCAAAGTATGTACAGCAAGTTAGTCGCGCAATTTTCCGCAGAGGCCAGCGAGATTACAGACGTAAATGGTACTGGCATGATGACGCAGTTGAGGAAGCTCGCTAATCATCCTCTTCTCGTACGTGATTATTACGACGAGAAGAAGCTACAGGTACGTATGTGATCTGTAAAACTTTTATCTCTTTAATCAACTCCTGACTTATCAATGCGTCGTTAGGTCATAGCAAGTAGACTGGCGAAGGAATCGGGTTACAAGCAGAAGAATCCAGAGTACGTCTTTGAAGAGCTGATTTGGGCGTCTGATTACCAAATAAATCAATTGACCCGCATATATAAAAGTATAGCCGGATTTGGTCTGCCCCAGGAGCTTATTCCTCAAGCTGGTAAATTGAAGGAACTGGACAAGTTGCTACCACCGTTGAAAACGGGTGGCCACAGGGTGCTCATTTTTAGCCAGTTTACCATGGTATTGGATATACTCGAAGAATACTTAGCGATTAGGGGACAAACATTTTTGAGGTTTGCTACAACTAATTATTGCCGTGGCTGTACGCCATCTCAAATTAATTCTAATGGATTTAATATTCGAATTAGGCTAGATGGCAGTACACCTGTGACTGAGAGACAAAGTCTTATAAATGAGTACACAGAAGATCCAAGTATATTCATATTTTTATTATCAACAAGAGCCGGAGGTTTGGGGATCAATTTAACTGCTGCCGATACGGTCATAATACACGACATAGACTTCAATCCCTACAATGACAAACAAGCGGAGGATCGATGTCACCGTGTGGGACAAAAAAAGTATGCATCGTCACAAGATTTGAATGTATTTTCAAGTTGAGATAAAACACAAGTTTTGTTTTTACCACTCGTTACAATGAATATCCAAGTTGCTGATTTTCCTTGCAGACCCGTGTCTATAATACGACTATTAAGTGAAGGCACAATAGAGGAAGGCATGTACGAGATAGCGCAAGAAAAACTGCATCTTGAACAACAGCTTACTGAGAACGAAGGTAAGTACAAAAAAGGTTTCGTCTCACACGTGTGGAAAAAAATTAACAAAATGCATTTTGCTTGCAGAGAATGAAAGTGCGGATAAGAAGTCAGTTTTAAAATTATTGAAGATGACTATAGGCCAGGATGCTCATAATAAATCTCTGTCGTCGATGAAAATTGCCAATAAAGGAACCGACGCGATAGGAAATGAAGATTTGTAAATAGGGAATTTTATTTCCAATTATAATAATCATAAATTTTGATATATTCCATTTACTATACAGATCATGTCGCATCATCGTAAACACATGAGGGAAACTTAACGTATTTTGTAAAGGATCGTGTTTTTCACTTCTACTTAATAATTCAATAGAGATATATCACAATTTGTAGATCTTTCTATTTATAACGTATGCTGTGAAATATTTCCTTTTTTTTTTGTTATTTTGTATGTCCATTAAATCATTCCTTTATTTATCTACACAAGATGCATTTTGTTGTATTTTAAACAGCATGTTTTGTGCATGCTCCTATTTATAACATATTTTTTAAGATATATCTCGGAATATTTAAAAGTGTAACGTCGAAGAAACAAAAGAAAAAAAAATACATGCTTGAAAGATACGATTTCCACAATAAGCAAGACACATTGAATTGCATTTTTCTAATTTTACTATAAAATCGAAAGTAATAATCCTTACTGAGAGTAAATGTATGATTATCTTCAACATGTAATTCATTGGCACGCCAACATTCGATTATACAAGGAAAAAAGTTGTATAAATGAAATAAATATGGTATAGCTTTGTGAAAAATAAAAGTAATTTACACAACCACGGTTATTTATATCAACATTAATAAATACGTGATCTTTCAGTTGTATAGAAGATGTGTGAACAAATTTTATTACATATTACAATCCTCATGATATACTTTGAGTTATTAAAAGCTCTGACATTCCATCCTTAATGATTTTCAAGCTTTCTAAATCCGCATTTATTGTCGAAATAAGCTGCGCCATTCCCTGCTGTTCCATACTTAAATACTGAAAGAATAGAAAAACACGGTTATTAAACTTGATATTTATTTTAAGTTAATATAAAGAATATATTCTTACTGTTTTAATATCGTCCTGTGCTATTGGGTCCATTGTATACCTCTCTTGATTCTGAATATCAATGTGCCGCCTCATTCTAAGCTGAGAAAGCATTTCACTAATTCTACCTTTGTATTGCGTTGGAGCACTGATTTGCGAATGCATCGCTTCGAACCTGCGTGTTAAACCTTCCTCTGCCGGTTGTAAGGCTAATCCAACTTTTCGCGTAATCTCCTGCCGTACCAGCAACTTTAACATGGAATTTTATGTTGTTAACGGAAATGTCAAGAGTAAAATTAATGAATAACCAAACGCAGCAATACCTGTAGAACCTTGTGTTGAAGTTCCAATAACGCACGCCTATGTTCCTTGAGTCGGGCCTGCGTAGCCGTGTGCTGCCTTTGCAAGCCTTGTATTTTTTCAGCCGCCAAATCTAGAAACGCTCTATGTCTAGCAGTTTCCTCCTCTTGACACTTTAATCTGTGCTTAACTTGCTGGAAGCCGACTATAGGAACCGGAATATACAGCTCCGGATTGGGATTGTCCAACTGCGCTTGCTTCCATAATCTCGCGTCGATAGCACAGGGTGGATTATCCAGGTACTCTTTTAGCTGCGACGGATCAAGTTTCACCAGCGGAAATACATCTTCGACCCCGTTCTGTACTAACTGTTGTTTCTGCATCACCTGCGACAGGTACGCGACCAATTCGTTGGCAGGGATCTTTCTGTAGGAACCGGTGATTCCTTTTTCCGACACGTATGTTGTCACTTGACTCTTGTTCTCTCCCGTTGACTTTACATTATCCACGGTTACGATCAGATTGGGCTTATTCCCCAACAAACCATTGAGAAATACTATCAACTGCTGTTTCCCATCCTGTACATCCTTTTCTTTCTTATTAAAGCACAATACTACTAAACCATCGTTGTTGTCAGCATCAGGTATACGACTGTATCCGATGGCTTTGAATCTGCACAACGAATTTTCCTGAGTAAGATCTATAGGCGGGGCGTTTATGGAATAATATGCTTTTCCTGTACCCCACAACGCCCGAATAAGATTCCACCTAGCAATGGTATTATCTCGTTCGTCATTGTACAACTGGCAATTGAACACAGCATTATAGAGAGCCTCTGACTTTGTAGGCTGCTGAGGCTGTGCCGGTCCAGTACCAAATCCAGCGAATCCTGTCCCTGTGTAGTAAATATGCAGTTAATAAAGAGTCCTTTGATCTCGGTTCAACTCACTTTACATCTTTAGTTTTAAAAATGAGAAAAAGATAAGAGGTAATTTAAACCGAGATTGAAGTTAGTCTGCATTGGTAGAAACGGGCGTGAAAGATTTCCCCATTACCCGTTCCAAATCCACCGAATCCAGGGGTACCGCTGGTGGTAGCCGGCTTGCTTCCGAATGCACCGAAACCCGTGGACGTGCCGAAGCCGGTTGGGGCGATGTTCGTAGTGCCAAATCCGCCAAACAAGCTAGGCGTAGACGTGGTGGTGGTCGTCCCGAATCCACCGAAGCCCCCGAAGCTCAGCGTCGACGTCGTCGCTGTTCCGAAGCCAGCGAAGCAAGCGGGGGCGCTGGCGGGGGTGCAGCCGAATGTCGAGATTGTGCCGAATCCAGTGGCCGTGGAGGCGGCGGGAGTACTACCGAAAGCCGGCGCCGAGCCGAAGGTGCTGGTGGGCGTGGCGCCGAACGCGGGCGCGGAGCCGAAGCCCGTGCTGGGCGCGTTACCGAAGCCGGCGGCGGTCGGGCTGCCGAATCCGGTGGCGGTGCCGGTGCCGAATCCTGTCGGCTGCGTCGACAGCGTGCCGAACAGGCTTGGCGTCGAGGTGGTCGGTACGCTGAACCCGAACGAGGGCGTTCCAAATCCTGCCACTGAAAAATTCGTAACAAATACAGCCAAGTCCTCTATTATGAGATAGCAGGTCTCCAACACCCAACTACAATCACAAATCCTTCGCAACGATCACACGATCTAACGATGAATCTTCCGCCAAACAGATTTCGCTCCAAGGGCAATAAATTCATGGTGGAATCGACTGACGACGCCTATTAATTTAACAGAAACCCCGCTATCTCGTATTAGGGTCCTATTTCATAGTAGGGGACCTTCCTCTGTATCAACGAGAGCTCGAGTCGCCTGATCTTGTTTTGTTTAACATGAAGTTAGGTGAAGCGCGTCACTTAAAAGGTGTTTGCTATTATGACATTCTTCCTTGCTTCTTTTGTGAACGATTTTATATGTAATGTGCTTAGATTTTCGAATGTGATGATATATATTGGAAGATACTGCATGGATACACTCAACTGCCTGTCGAGATTTCTGTATTAAAAATTCAAAAGTCGATTACAAATATATACCATTTTTTTAATAATATACGATCGTATGGCATAAAATAATACAGCATGGCATTTCCGAATCGACAGAATGACCTGCAGGTAATATTTACAGCAATAAGAAAGTTAACTATTTTTTTTTATACTGGGTAAATTTTGACAAGCTCGTTTCCCAAAAACATTAAAACGCAACGTTATTTAATTCAAAACGCACTTTAAAACCTGATCTACAATATGCTCTTTGTGTCCAGAAACATTCTATATTGTAAAGAATTATTTAACGCCAATAATTGATTAACCAATGTAGAAAATTGCTCGACGACCCATGGCTGGCAAATTCTAAGTAAAGAAATTCATCGAGAAAAATATTACCTCAGCCAGGGATCACTGAGGCACGTCTCAGTGGTCGAATTTATGAGATGCCCACCTAGAGTGTAGGGAGGTCCAGGTTCAAACCCTGGCTGAGGTAATACTTTTCGCAATGAATTTCTTTACTTAGAATTTGCCAGCCATGGTTCGTCAAGCAATTTTCTACATTCTCACTTTGTAGCCAATAAATACGTTCAAAAAATTGCTAAATCGTACATTCGTACTTTGCCGACAAAGTTTTTAACCGTACTGATTTGCTTGAAATACAAAACAGAATGTATCCGATCGCAAGCAGCACATTGTTGATCAGGTTTAAATCGTCAACAGACCAGGGACTCGATTCTTGAATTCATTCGAAGGAGAAACGTATGCGAAAGTCTCGCTCCTACAGAAAAGCTGCAAGTTGATTGGCTATTCGCATGGCGTTTAACCAATCCACCTCCAACTTTTCTGTGAGAGAATTTTCGTTTCTCTTTCGAATGAATATCAATAATCGAGCCGCAGCCTCCTACGCACAACCGGCACACGATTCGTTGCAGACAGTCGCCACGTCTAACATCGTTCTCCGACGTATCAAGTCAGTGCACGATCCTGCCACAGAGATCGTCAACGAACTGGGTACTACCGACATAGCAATCGGGGTAACAATTGTCATAACAATTTATCCGACACATTTTACCCCAATCCTGGGTAGACATCGAATAAGCGACATTTTTATAAAAACTATAAAAAACCTTCATGGTCCCTTTACCTTTTTTATAATGAAAAGTATATCGAAGATCGTTTGAAGTTAGAAAGTTCTAGCAGATCAGTCAATAGATCTAATCGTTTTCTAAGTACCAATGCCGCGAGGTTCTTTTTCAAGTCGCAAACGTCGATAAACATCTCGTAATTCCTGGCCCGACTCGATTATCCTTGCGCAGGACGCGACCGCGGAAATCATGATAACGACACTGGGAAAGATCCCGAGCGAGATGTATTACTTGGAAGACACGACTACCGGCAGAAAAGTCGCAGGCTACGGCACCGAGTCGTGCGCGACGCCCGAGCGTACCACGCTGGCCCCGGTCGAGGCCGCGAAACTCGACGAATACGCGGATCGCTCGACGCTGCTAGTCATCCTGCTGACCACCCTCCTGGTCATATTGTTCATGTGCTGCGTCACGGCGTGCATCATCGCGCGGTCCAGGAGCCGGCGCGCTTTCCTCGCGAAAAGCGACGTCGAGTGTAGCCCGGACTGCGGGGGTGTGAGCCAGCCCCTGCTGAACAAGGACACGACCACCGGGAGCGGCTCGACCGGGAACTGAGGAGGGCGCCCATTTCTACGTTCTTCCCTGAGCGCGACCAACTCCTCGACGCCACTCGGGACGGCCCGACGAAGGGGTGCCTTGCCGGAGTCAAGTTCCTAACCTCAAAATTGTCACACATGGTGCGTCGTGAGATACTTGCTGTACGGGAAGCGCAGGCGGCGCGGAGACGCCGCGGGCGTTCCCGCGCCCGGACGGCGAAATAGAGTCGAGGACGAGCGAGAGAATCGCCCGCGAACAAGGGCGACTTACCAGGCTTAACCGGCGTCGCCGTGGACGCCGGCGTGGTGCCGAAGGCGAACGTGGGCGCGGACGTGGACGTGGACGTCCCGAAACCGCTGCCGAACGACATCGTCGATTCCTCCCTGTGCCGCGACTCTCGGCCGAACCAAAGACGAGCTGTTTTCAACCTGAGGGACCCGAGGCTACGTGCTCGCGTCGCGAATGTCGCGATCACCGACCATCACAAACTCCTATGTACACACTAGACCGCTAACTCTATCAAAATACATGGCTCTGAAAAATACATACAGAATTCGGGCATGCGCGTCGCATTGGGGGGGGGGGGGGACACTGATTATGTATGTGTATATGTGTGTGTCGTGCATGTAGTACGCTAGGAATCACGGATAAAGTTCCGAGGGATAATTCTTTAGCTCCAGCACCTCAAAAATCAATGAAACTAGTCTCAATCGACGCTTTTTTACACGAAACGAAAGAATCCGGTAGAAAAAAAAAGTGTCGTTCCGCCCGACTGTCATACCGACGAAATCGGACTAAATGCACATGCGCAGTGACGTAAAAGTGCGCGAAATTCGAAATGGCGGCTGTCCTACCCCCTTACGATGACGACGTCCAGACAGTGCGCCCCGTAGTTTTCGGTGTCTAGGTGTATTAATACCATGAACTCGATGTCCACGTATCCCAGGTAGCCGATGACGACGTCCAGACAGTGCGC